GTGTGAGTGTGTATGTGTGTATAGTCATATATATATGACTGCCCTGCCCTAGATAATGTGTATACTGGCATCTTCAAAGCATACCTGGGAGACTAGATCTCTCCAGATAACTGTGATGACTGTGTTGATAATAATCTTTGTCCTGGTAGAGACATTTTGTGTTTGGCTCGATTTCATCATGTTGGCAGCCCCACTATGTGAGGCTGGATGTAGTTATTGATCCATTTAGCTGAACAGATTTGAAAGCATTTGGATATTAGTGGACACATGGGGAATATTCAGAAAATTTAAGGGTATATTGTAAGATGATTTCTTGATTTGTGCATGTCTCTATTGCATTTGGGGCAGAAGTGAGGGAGAAATAAAGTGAAATTAAACAGCAATCCTAGAAAAGGGGCTAAAAATCCAGATGCAGATTTTGAGAATTGGGTATTATCCTTGGATCAAATGCTAGATACCTGGTATTTTTCCTAAGTGTTACTAGTGGTGAGATTGTTATTATTTGTTAATGGTTTTATGTATCTTCTGACAAATATCTGTATTTTCAAAACAGGCAAGCTATTGTAGGCCACATTTTATACTAGCTAGATAAAATTCTATAAATGAAATACTTAGTAAATTTATTCAGTAGTCCTATATTCCAGATAGCGAAAACTTGTTTAGACAGTTTGCATTATTTTCCTTAACCTATTATAAAACACTAACAGTTTCCTATCAACATTTAGTAACAGAAATCTTTCTTGAAGCTGATATTTTTTTTTACTTTCATTGATCCATTTAGAATTCTTTTAATAAATAACCATGATATGAATTTAACCTCTTGGGAAGTAAGAATAGAGATACAAAAGTAAAGAGTATTGGCCATAGTCCCTTAATGCAATGCCTTGAACATAGTAGTTGGTCAATAAATGTTGAATGAATGCATATATGAATAAAACATTTCTGCTGTTCTATTAGAAATAGAGGGATAATGTCCTAGAAACTTATTACTTGTTATACATTTTGGATAAGCCTTGATGGACTTACTTTAGTTTTTATACTGGTGGATAGATAGAGATGAAAATACTGATAAATCCTGTTCTTAAAATGAGTCATTAATATATCAGAATTGATCCTTTGTTATTTTTATAAAGAATTAGAGTAATAATATTTGCTTTATATTCATTTTTACTCAGAATGAGAAAAGCCTTTTTATTATCCCTATTATACACACAAGGCTGAGGCCTTAATGGTTAAGTTACTTGTCACCTTGGAAACTCTTTGCAGCATAGGGATAAACAAATCTTCTGTGTTATGTGACTAATGCCCTAACCTTCCTGAACACTCACTCTGCTTTCTTCCTCTCCTTATCTCTGTCTTACTAAAACACAAAAAATAAAATCCGTGTTGACTCTCTCGATTAGGTAAGATCAGAACATATTAAACATTTGTAGCTGTTTCACTAAGCAGAAATAATGTATCCTTTATTTACAGTATACATATTTATAATTATGGTTTCTAATTATACACCAAATTCCAACTATAAATACATAAAGTCATACAAAGGTAAATTTATAAATGTATAAGACCTGCTTTAGATAGGCACTTCTAGAGTTCCATTTTGGTAGCGTGATTCATTCTCCTAAGAATGGCCCATGTTGCAAAGTGAGGCAGTAACTACTGTAGGTAAACATCTTGTTAAGGCTTCAAAAATTTTTCTACCATTGACTGATGATAATCATGAGCACTTTTATGCTTGGAAGTACCTTTCCTCTGGGAACACTTTTTCTTTTATCCTTAATTTAAACCAGTGGGCAAGAAGTCAATATCATGGACATCATTTCTTCCTTCTGATTCTAGTGTAGTTGATTAAGCTATATCACTATATTAGTCTCAACATGAGAATTTAACAGTTAAGCCACCATATGTATTAGCTAGAATATTTATCATTAAACCAGACAAATATTAGCAGCTGCTTCAGTGGTCTGTACCAGAATAACTGTGTGGAATCTCAAAGATAAACTGCCAAGCCCTAGAATTCCTCAGCCTAATTGCAGGTTTCTGTGTGACTTCTGGATTAAAGAAATAAAGGAAGTCAATCCACATTTATTGAGAACATAGCATGCCTAAATATAATTTCTTTCTTTCCTCCTTCCATCCTCCCTCCTGGCCTCATTTCCTGTCTTTCTTTTACTGTATAAGGTAAACGGGATGCCTACTGTTTGCTAGACACAGTGACAGGCTAAATGAATAAAAAAAGTACTTGTTCTCAACGATCAACCAGTCTAGAGAAAGACAAAGATATGTCAAGAGGATTCTTTTGAGCATCACCAATTATTATTTAGTATGGAACTGGTCACATGTCTGTTCTTTTGTTTCCTCATCTGTGAAACTAGAAACATTATCTACCGTATATTTTAATGTCTCGAGAGATAGATAACATGCTACTAGTAAAATCCATTGTTTGACACATAGCAAACACTCAATAAGTCTTAGCTATGCTAAATTTTCTATCACTGCCACTACTACCAACATGAAGACTGCTCTAAGATACTGAAGAGTTCCATCCAATGTCTGGGAGCAGACATTTTATTCTGAACATTTTTGCATAGATTGCCTCCAAACTTCTGCCCAAAGTTACAACTGCTTTTATGGATTTAGAAGAAATTTTAGAAATTGTCAATCAGTATACTAAATCTAAAAGACTCTCATATACTCTCTTTGTCATTTTTCCCAAATTTTAATTATGGTCAAATACACACAACAGAAAATTTACCATCTTAATCCTTTTTAGATGTTTAGTTGAATGGTATAAAATACATTCATACTATTGTACAGCCATCACAATCATCCATCTCCACAACTTTTTAATCTTGTCAAACGAAAATGCTATACACATTTAAAAATAACTCCCAATTCTGGCCTCCCTCTGTGTGCTGCAACTCCCATTCTACTTTTCATCCAAATGATTTTGACTTTTGTTAATTAAATAAGGGAAATCACACAGTATTTATGTTTTTGTATTTGCCTTACTTCATTTAGTGTAATATCCTCAGAGTTAATCCATGTTGTAGTACAAGTCATAATTTCCTCCTTTTTAAAGGGTGAATAATATTTCATTGTATGGATATTCCATATTTTGCTTATAATTCATCTGTCAGTGGATATTTGGATTGCTTCCACATTTTGATTATGCATAATTCTTCTATGAACACAAGTGTACAAATATCTCATTGAGAACCTGCTTTCAGTGGTTTTTAAATATATACCCAGAAGTGGAATTACTGGATCATATGGTAATTCTCTTTCCCATGTATTCTTATGCTGAGATTACTTTCATCTCAATTGATTGGAATATTTTAATTTGTGTCTGTGAATGACATTGGTTTCTTCATAAGGAAAATAGAATGAGTTAGGTTCAGCAAGAAAATATCTACTAGCTGAGCTCATGCTTTAAAGGAGCCTATGAATGCCTTAAATAGATCAACATCTCAAATGCTAATGATGTTTTTAGAATATCTGGATTTTAACTCTTTTGATCATGTTTGAACTTAGGAGTTTTGAATTCTAACTGGCTACTGAAATCTGAGCTCCAAAATTCATTAGCTGTGTGACCTGATCAAGGTTGCCTAAGCTTACTAAGTTTCAAGTGTTCAGATTTATGATATGGTAGGAAAAACACTTGTTTTATATTGATGTATGTAAGGATTAAAGTAGTTAGGTATAAAAATATTTGTAGTGCAATATTTACTAATATTCTCTGCATGATAATTTTTTTCTCTTTCTTGTTAAAATATTAAGTTGTTATAATAGGCAGTATAGGAATTTGAAGGAAATTTGGTATTCATTTTTTGGCAGTTAATTTTGGTAATGTTGTGGCTTTTATAAATACTGTGGAATATCTCAGTTCATCATGTAGACTCATAATGTCTAGCTATGCTTGTGTTCACCTCAGTGTCTATTTACTATGGAAGAATATCCTCCAATGGAAGTTCTGTTGATGCAACCCCAGATAGCTTTCACCCCTCTTTGGTTTCTCAAAACCAATCTCTTAAAAATAATCAATCAAAGAACCCATATTTTCATTAAATATGGTTCTCTTGGCAAGGTTGTCACAATCT